TGGGGCGCCTGCACACTCAACACCCTGTAAGCACTTAGGGGATTCATTGCAGAGGTCCTAAGCGATGATGGTGACAGATTTGAGGATTCCCAAGGCCAGGAGGGCAGATCCCAGAGTGGTAGGAAATGAGGTAGGCAGGACTATTTCATCCCCAAAGGCTTCATAACTAGGAAAAGCTATTTCATTAGAAGCCGTAAAGAAGCACTTCCTAGCTATTAATCGTGTGGCAATCTATGTAAGTTATATTAATAGGCCAAAAAAACAAAACAAAACAAACCCAGACTGCATAGTGTGTGTGTGCTATGATAGCAGATCTATAGAAAGACAAACTACCTACAGAGAGAGGGTGACTGACTAGAAGTTAATAGTAGTTGCCTTTGGGAGGGGAAATTAAAGGTGACTTTTTTTCTTCCTTACACTTTTCTGTTATTTACAGTTTTCCACAACGGACATAATAATTAGAGCCACCATATATTGGGTTCTTGCTATAGTTATGCTAAGCACTTTATATGCATGATCTCATTTAATTTCTTGTAATCATTGTGTTCAGTAGGTGGTTTTATCCTCTTAACAGGTGAGGTTCTGAGCCTTAGTGATTCATGGAAATGGAGCTTGAACCAAGGTCTTCCTGCTGTCAAAGAGGCCTTCCTGGCTGCTTGAATATTAGCTTCTTTGGGAAGTGGGAAAAACATCATTCATCTTAGAAGGACGCAACAGATTACTAATGTTACCTGCAGTCCAGACCAGAGGAGCAGCGAATACCGCTTTAGGCTAGGATGTAGCGATTCCTACTGTCAAAACATTTGGGATGCGTCTCCAGTGGATTAACCACTAGAGTGCTTCCATTGTATGCTCATGCTCTGTGGAGTGGTATGGGAGCTGCTGAGGCGCACAAGCTGGGCTCACACAGTATTGATGCTTAGGCTATGCCACATCTGTATTTTTTCCTCAGACTCAAGTCAAGAAATATAATATTCTCAGGGCGCCTGGGTGGCTCAGTTGATTAAGCATCTGACTCTTGATTTCGGTTCAGGTCATGATCTCAGGGTCCTGAGAGCAAGACCCACGTTGGGCTCCACGCTCAGAAGGGAGTCTTCTTCTCTCCCTCTCCCCCTGCCCCTCTCCCTGCTTGTGCATGTGCTCTCTCTCTCTCAAATAAATAAATCTTAAAAAAAAAAAAAAAAGAAAGAAAAAAGAAATATAATATTTTCTGTGGAAAAAAAGATACCCGGACATCACCTCATTAGAGTTTCATCAGAAACTATTTCACCTGTTCATTAATTATTCAGTTATGATTAGTGAGTATTTTTCAATAGTTTAGGAATTTTCACTTTTGCTTTTTGCTGAAGCAGAGGATGAGGGGACTTTTCCCGTGTCTTCATCTCTAAGCTGGAAAAGTAGGTGAGAATCTCATCACTCATGGAGAAAGCAGGTGCTGCTGACAAATCAAAAAATCACAAGTAACTCAGAAATCATGTTGCACTAGCTTACACAAGCATTATCTCATTTAATGCACACAGCTGATAGATACTACTCGTGTGTGCATTTCACTGAGGAGGAAACCAAGGCTTAGAGAAATAAAGTGACTTGTCCAACATCACACAGTAAGTGGTAGGGTTAGGGCTTGAACACAGGCAGTCTGACTCCAGCGCACTGGCCGGTAACCAGGGCACTGCACCAACTCTGAAGCCCGGGTTCTTCAGTTTATTTACTGATGTGATCCTGGGAGATTAATGTCACCTTTCTAAGCCCATTTCCTTATCTGTAAAAAAGAGACAAAAGGACCTGTGCTATAAGGCTATTGTGAAGATTAAATGTAATAACATTTATAAACTGTGAAGCATATTATTTGGCCCATTCCTGGTGTTCAGAAAGCCAGTTTCCATTTATTTCCCTATACTTTTTTGGCCTGCTTAGCCGTGAGAAGTAGACATTAAGATTTCTCCTGAACTGCTTGACTTGGCAAGGGTTGCATTCCTTCTAAAATCTTAAAGAACCTTTGAGAAGAAGAAATTATTGTGCAATTATTTTAAAGCCGATTACTGCAAAAATTTGAGAAAGACTTGAACAGGAGATAAATGGCTAGGTTCTTTAAAGCTACTTCTAAAATGCTCTAAATTTTAGTTCCAAGAAAGGTAACTGCCTGATAAATTTCTGTTCATACATCTCCATCGGAAGGCAATTTAGTTGAGCTTCCTTGGGCAGATCTATAGAAATGTGGGCAAAATCTGCCATCTGCAGGTGTTATAGGATATCTCTTTGAGAAGGACAGCTACAATTTAGGAGGTTGGAAATCCGAGGCTAAATGTCCTAATAAACTTTGCATTTGGGTTGAGAGAAATGGAACAAATTTGTACTGAGTTTAACTTTCAAAGAATGTAATTAAGGTTCTCAGTGGCTTCCTCTGTTACTGATAGTTTTACATGAAAGCTGCTTAGAGGCTGAATTCTAAGAAGGCAGAAGCTCCTGCCTTTAAAACATTATTAAATCTTCTCTTTCCTCCCCAACAAAGTAAACAAAACAAACAAAAGAAATAAACACCTCCACTTACAGGAATAAAAAATGACCTGAAAAGATAGGTAAGGGGAAGGGAAAGAGTATGTGATCTCTCCTCTGGTCCTTGGGTCTCAGCGTGGTTGAAGGAAGAAGTCCTCTCCCTCCCTCCCAGGTGATAATAACTGAGTAGCTGAGCCAATAGCAGACACACCTCCCAAGCAGAGTCTGGAGGAAGGGCGCCTCTGAAGCTGCTATACATGGGAGAGTCCACTCCAGCATTCCTTCCCTCCGGGTGGCTAAAATCTGACACAAGATACGATAGCCAACAACCCGGATGGTGCGGCCACTTTGGAGAACAGTGGCAGTTCCTCAAAAAATTAAACACAGAGTTACCATATGATCCAGCAACTCTGCTTCTAGGTAGAACTGAAAACAGTGTTCACACAAAAACTTGTACATGAATATTCATAAAATCATTATTCATAATAGCCAAAAAATGGAAACAACCCAAATGCCCATCAACTGAGGGATGGATAACTAAAATGTGACACATCCCTATTATGTAATATTATTCAGCCATAAAAGGGAATGACGTATTGATATGTGCTACAGCATGAATGAACCTTGAAAGCATGATGCTCAGCGAAAGAAGCCAGGCACAAAATGCCACATAATATACGATTCCATTTATATGAAATGTCTAGAAGAGGCAAGTCTGTAAAGACAAAAAACAGATTATTGGTTGCAAGGGGCTAGGTAGAGGTGGGGCTTGGGATTGGCTGCTAACAAGTACTGTGTTTTTCTTTGGTATGATGGAAATATCGTGGAATACACTGTAAATATACTATAAGCCACTGAATTGCAATAACTTTGAAACGGTTAAAATGGTGAATTTTATGTTATGTGCATTTCATCTCAATGTTGTAAAAGTTGAAAAGAAAGAAGCAAATAGCCTGGGCTTTCAGTGCCAGCTTTCAAAACTTCACCTAGGGACTGGGGCGTCTGGGTGGCTCAGTCGTTAAGCGTCTGCCTTCGGCTCAGGTCATGATGCCAGGATCCTGGGATCGAGCCCCTCATCGGGCTCCTTGCTCCATGGGAGGCTTGCTTCTCCCTCTTCCACTCCCCCTGCTTGTGTTCCCTCTCTCCCCCTGCTTGTGTTCCCTCTCTCGCTGTGTCTCTCTCTGTCAGACAAATAAATAGAATCTTAAAAAAAAAAAAGAATTCCAAGCTAAGAAACACTAGCTTAAGAACCTTGGCTAATTTTATTCTGTGTCTCTCTGTCAAATAAATAAAATCTTTAAAAAAACTTCACCTAGGGAGGAAGGATTTCAGGAACTACATCCATCTTGGATTCCTGCATACCCTGGTTTTAACAGATCAGACTTTTTTAGTACAGATTTATTTTTCTCTGGATGCTACTATCTTAGCCCCCAGTTAGTGTTTAGCACTTTTAAGTAATGTTCTTTATAGGGAGTTTTAGTTTATGTCATCCTAGGCAGTTAACAGTGATGAATATATGTTTGCTCCCTGTCTCTCCATTAATCGGTCAGATCTGATGAATAATGAGAGACTCCATGTTTAGACAACAACCAGACCATATATAAAAATAGGACTTTCATCCACAACCTGCCCAAGAAGCCAGCCCCCTTATCAATGATAAACAAGCCAGGCAACCAGCCTGCTATAAGTCAGACTTGCAGGAAGCCAGATTGCTATCTCTAGTGACAATCCAGTAAACTAAACAATAACTTCTATAACAATCAGCCCCAAATGGTCAGGACTTGATTACTAAGTGACACTTTCCCTAATTTCTGTTTCTGCTTTCAACTTAGGACCCATCAGAGAAAGCCAAATATGCACCCCTAATCAATCACCTAGGATGCCCTGCTTCTCATTAGCCCACCTACAGCTTCCTCGTGCCAGCCACCTTGAAATCAAGGCACACCCGAAGTCTTCCCTTTTTTCCACTATAAAGCTTTCCCACTCTGCCTGCCTTTGAGTCTCTGGCAAAACACATGTGATGGTGGCTGACTCCCTACGTCAAGCTCAGAATAAATAGCTTTTCCCACTTGATTGATCTTCATTTATTTCCACACTATAGATAGCATTTTTTTTAAAGATTTTATTTATTTATTTGACAGAGAGAGAGACAGCAAGAGCAGGAACACAAGCAGGGGGAGTGGGAGAGGGAGAAGCAGGCTTCCCG